CTAACTCTGTATGTTAAAGAAGAACGCTGTTTGTGCATTCCGGATTCTGCAAATATCCCTGGATTAAATTCAAATTTTCTGAAAAAAACTTGTGAATATTTTTCTGCAATTATTTCAAAAGATTCTCCTTAAAATGCAACAGAACATATTTGGGCCTCTTGAGCAAAAATAATCATACTTTTTGGGGAGGATGCACAATTTATTAGGGGGGATCAGACAACATTCGAATGTTCATACACGGCGTTCTCATTATCAGCATGTCAAAATTGATAATATATTATAAAGCATAATTCTTTAGGTATCAATAACGTTTTTTTTAGTATTCAACGTTCTTGTACCGTTCGCAGGGAACGATCGAATTGTAAATCAAAGATTCTAACTTAAATCGGCCAATCCATGACATTTCATCCATACATTGTCCGCAGCGGTGATCGTTCAGTCATTATTTTTGTGTCCGCAATTTTGAGGGCATTATAATGAACTGTTGAGGGGACCTTATTAACTGTTTATCCCGGAGTGGCTACACAGATCCGAATAATTGAATCGTAAATTAAACGCGGATGTAACGAAATCCATTTGCTAATCAGCTGCAGTACGATGCATTTAATTTCCCTTCGGATGAATAACGCCATATCGTTCCGTAATCACGCGGTATCCCTGCCCCGTAAAAGTTGAATACAAATTGAAAATGCACACTGAAGGGTGCTTCGAAAGTCAATCACTACCCAGCGTATTGCCGCGTGCACTTAACATTCATCAGGGAACAGGTTATGTCACTCATCGCTTTGAACTCATAACTTAAATCAACCGGAAAATCAAAATTCCGGTCGGATGTTGATTCAGTTTCCAACTGGTAAGCATATCGTTATGAGCGTGCGTTAACAGGTGCTAACGTTTGGCTTCCCAAATAAATTTCTCGTTCCGTAAAGTATGACTTTTGATGTGATTTTGTTTTGAACACCTCAATGACATGATATCACAAACAGTGGCGTGGCGTGCTTTACGATATATTGATCGTTATGCCATTTAAACCTATGGTAAAGAATCGATTATTAAGGTGTTCGCTGCGAACACCCTGATTATCGATCCTTTTCTATACGTTTAAATGGAATATTAATCGATATATCGGAAAACACGCCACGCCACTGATCACAAACGTTTAGAAGTCGCGGAGTTTGAATGGGTTTTTTTAGGAATCTTTGACGGTCTCATTGTCGTATGACAATGATGTCCACGTAAGTCCGTTTGCAAAGTTGCAGACTTCCTGTCGCACTTTATATTTTCTGTGAAGAGCTGGTTGAGGTAAATTTCTCAAAACTTCCTCAATATATCCACCATGCTAGCAATCAAATCTGCCTTGCCAAGGAAAAACGTCGTATGAGCTCTCAAACTTTGCCAAATTTTCTTCAATAAAACCTTAATATACTTGGAATATCGTGAATTTTTCTCTTCAATTTTTTCAGACAATTTTGTGCGCAATTTCGTCAAAAATGTGTGAAAATTTCAAGGAAAAATACGCATAATCGTTGTCAATAATACATGTTTTATCCGTGGCAATTTGGCAACTCTCGAATGTTCATACGGCGTTTTTCCTTTGCACGGCAGAATTGTTCGGTCGTTTCTCCTCGAAAAACATAAAATCGGACCTGACGCTTTGAGATACCGCAGAGAAGATGCGTGGTTACACACCTTGGTCATCGATATTCTCTTCAGCGCATTGAGAAACTGCCAAAAAAAAAGACAAAATTAAAAGTAACTTTTCTTGGGATATAGCAAATCCAATTTTTCTCAATTTTGCTACAGTGAAATATGTTTGGAAGTGGCACTGGACTGCTTAAGAACTTACCTCAGGAAGGAATCCTTTTGAAAACGGCTCAAACTTTTTTTTCACCAAGAAACAAAACCTGAGAGAATCATAACGCGACCGCATATAGCAGAAAGGCACCAAACTACATCAGCTATTGCAAAAAACGGAGCAATTTAATTTCTTACAACAGAACGTTTGTGCGGATTCCTTTGAAAATTTCAAGAAATTTGCTTCGTTTTAGGCAGAAAATTCACTGGCATTTGCACAAAAATCCGCACGATTGTAAAAAATTAAGTTGTCCCCATTTGATTTGGCAAAAGCTAACCGGGCTTAGTTCCACACTGGAAAAAAAGGTCGCTCGGATCTAGAGTCCAAACTCTTAAAAACATAGACAAGAAAGAATACTCCTGATTCAATCGGACTTTTTGCTTGAATCAAAAGTATATACGCCTAAATCAAGAGGCTCGGCTCTTCGATTCAAGGAAAAATCTGATTGAATCAACAGTTTTTTTTATTGTCAATATTATTAAGAGTCTGGACTCTAGATCCAAGCGACTTAATTTTTCCAGTGCATTCCACTTAACGCTGCCCAATGAACGGAACTGACCTTGAGGAACCTTGTCATCGAGTAAAACTGGGTTTCCGGAGGCACGGACCAGGTTCCAGTTGTCATCCCAGTCCAATTCCAGCTCTCCAAGGTACTTGGTGTAGCCGTACGCTTGCACCACCGGCACTCGTTTCCCCGATTCTTGCGTCACCATGTACGGGTAGTTCGCTTCCGGTTTTTCAATATCCGGTTGCTTCCCTGTCAACAAAACAGGAAATTACGATCCGGCTTCCGTAAACACACCGAGAGGGTTTAGACAAGATTCTTTGGTCCATCCTCTCTCGGATGAAAGTATCAAAAAGGGTAAGGTTCATCTTGAATGGGCCAATAGTGACAGTGGCAGGATTATGTTCTGCAAAATGGTTTTTGTTGGATGGCGAGAAGTGATCAGATCAAAATTGGACGTATTTCTATAAAACGGAACTGTGTGCATTAAGGCATGAGCCCTGAGATCCATAAGAATACACGTATAGCAGGGCTCACGTCATGATGCACATAGTTCCGTTTGATAGAAATACGTCCACTTTTCGAACGGATCCTGGCCAATGTGCTAGCTCGATAAGTAAGCTGCCGTGCCAAGGAAAAACGCCGTATGAACATTCGAGAGTTGCCAAATTTCCTAAAATTAATCATGTATTTTTGAGGAGAGTAATGAATATTTTTCCTTGAAATTTGCAGGTATGTTAGATCAAATTCCGAAAAAAAATCGTCTGAAAATTTTGAAGCAAAACATTAAAAAAATGTCCAGGAAATCCGGTTTTTATTGAGGGGAATCTGGCAACGCCTGGAGGCTCATACGGCGTTTTTCTTCAGCACGGCCATAAGGGCAAGGTGCTCTATTCCCGAGTGACTTTCACTTTGGAGTTTTTTGAACTTAGTTTCACTTAAGACGAAGCAATCTAAAGACAGGGTTGCCGCAGTCAGGAAAAACCGGGAAATGTCCGGGAAAATGACGAAAACGTCAATGGAAATTTGTTGAATAACCTTGATTTCCTTTCTAGAATGAGTTTGAAATTTCGAACAACAAATATCGCCTATGGAAACTTTTTTCAACTCTGTCTTCTTAACCATCTGTCATATTTTCAATTGTCAGGCAGTTTCACCAAAATATGTCAGAAAAATTAGGAGAATGTCAGGGAACTTCATTTTCCAAATTCTGTGGCAACCCTGTAAAGGCATGCATATAAAGCCAGAGACTCAGTATTTTACAAACCCTGCACTAAAAATCTAAGGAATGGGATCAGTTGAGGCACAACGTTTTTTAAATGTTTTATTGTAACATTTCCGACTGAGAATAACTTAGTTTTAAGTCGAAACGTCTCAGTTTTTTTTTTTTTTTTTTTTTTTTTTTTTTTTTTTTTTTTAATTGTGTATTTTAGCCTTGTTCCCCGTTTTTTCCCCTTGTTTTTCTACTGTTTCTATGGAAAACGGGTGTTTTCGTGGATTCGACCGTACGTCCGATGGAGTCACGGTCGGAAAAGCGGGCGAAACATGGACACTTATTCGGCGGCGGGATATGAAAAGGTACCTGAGTAGAGGAACGTGTCGGTGTGTCCGCCTACAATGACATCAATCTCGGGCACGACGGCGGCGATGTGTTTGTCCACGTCGAAGCCAGAGTGTCCCAGGCCGATAATCACGTGACACTTGTCCGCTCCAGGCTCCTGCTTCAGCCGCTTGATCTCCGCCCGGATCGCCTCCACCTCTTCGCTAATTGCAACCTTACCCGTGTTCGCCAGGAACTGAAACAATACCGCACGCTTATTTGCCTCCCTCCATTTACACCTCGCTTCACGTTCTGGTCGCCAATTCCATTTCATACATTCGCAGAGGATGGACGGGGTCACCTATGCTGCCGGGCTAAGGAAGAACGCCGTATGAACATTCGAGAGTTGCCAAATTTTCCTCGGTAAAATATGTATTTTTGATGACACTCATGAGTATTTTTCCTTGAAATGTTCAGATATTTTAGATTAAATTGCGTACAAAATTGTCTGAAATTTTTGGAAAGAAATATTCACAAATTTCCAAGTAATTTCGGTTTTTATCGAAGGAAACTTGGCAACTCTCGAATGTTCATACGGCGTTCTTCCTTAGCACTGCTGCCGTGCTAAGGAAGAACGCCGTATAAACCTTCAGGCGTTGCCAAATTTCCTTTGGTAAAACGCGAATTTCCTTGTAAACTTATGAAAATTTTCCTCCCAGTTTTTCCGATGGTTTTGTTCGCAATTTTACCTACAAATTCTGAAAATTTAAAGGAAAAAATAAATATTCGTAACCATCCTCAAAAATAAGCATTTTATCGAAGGAAATTTGGCAACTCTCGAGTGTTCATACAGCGTTCTTCCGTAGCATGGCAGCATCCTTCGATAGAACATGTATTTGTGACAACATTCGTGCACTTTTTTCTTTAAAATTTTCGAATATTTTAGATTAAATTGCGTACAAAATCGTCTGAAAATTTTGAAAAAAAGTATTCACAATTTCCCCGGCGAATTCGGTTTTTTAAAGGAAACTTGGCAATGCCTAAAGGCTCATAAGGCGCTCTTCCATAGCACGGCGGCATTATCGCACCGTCATACATGGGAGCTAGTCCATGGAAGATGTCAGAAATGATGCGGGAACATAAAACATTCCCGTGCATTTCTAAGAAGATGAGAAGAGCAAAAGTGCCTTCAATTTCGAACATGCAACACGCATATCCGTGGAGCACGTATAGTTGCACTGAGGCGCCTTAACCAACTCAGGTCAAGTTACTTCGTAAGGCGAGATAATGCGTCAGGTGCGCTGGTCACAGAAGCGTATTTTGATGCTGGATTTTTGTAGACGACATAAAAATGATAAGATCAGGTTAAACCGCAACTTCCTAGGTTCGATATTAACCGAGGCATCTCCCTCTCCAAAGTCGGGGTTTTGACGTTATCCACCAGGGAAGTGTTACCCTTGGTTTCCTCCACCTTGATTTCAACCGAGTTTCACGTTGAGTAACCAGTACAAACGCGCGCCACACTGACTGATGAATGCAATCAAGAAGCGTGTATGTAAATTAGTCTCGTTAAAAATCCAATTTTTATCTAGGGTCCATAAGTAACGTTAAGAGGTTTTTCATCTCAATTTTTTTTGAACCAAGAAAACTATTCCCCTCTCCTTTCACGGAATAATTTCAGTAAAGAGAAATAATATTGTACAAGGAGGCACATTTTTTTTGTAAACTACAGAGAATGATACGTCAACAACGGTTTGTGAGATAATTTGACAATGAAGATATTTTACAGTACTCGAGTCGATTTTGCACCCTAGAGTGACGGCGCACAGAAAAAGTTTCAGTGAACAATGCTGCCAGACACTTTAAAAATACATACTCTGAAGTTTTGCTCTTAGTGGAGGATAAGATCAAATTTTGAAATTATTTTCTCGGGGAAAGACGCTAAAACAAGAGGACACGGCTACGATTATAAACAAAGTCCGCTCTTCGCAGCGCGGATGGTGATGATGACTATGAAAAACGTGCGCTAATTATGTTGACTTTAGTTTAATGAGTCTTAGGGAGTTTGATCGACCAGGAGCAGTCGAGCGTTCAGGAGCGAACCGGAAAATCTTGAGTCGGCACCAAAATCCAGGAGTTGCCGCTTATTTTAGTTTTACAAACGAATATAATTCGAGTCGTGACTACTCTTTCGATTGTGTTAACGGCGAATAACGAACCAAATGATTCAAATAATTATTAACTGAATTGATGAAAATGTGTTAACAAAAGAAAATTACAATCTTGATGGTGTAATGTTCATTTTGAGAGTTTAAACATATACCTAAAAAACTAACACATTTAGTTATTTTTATCTACGTCATAGGCAATTAGCGATCGCCCGAAATCTATAAGAGGTTTTGATAAATTGTAAATTTATCACACGTCAGCATAATGAATGTTTGATGGATAATGGCCTTCAAAAGCACGATCTCGGATCGGAGCCCCTTCAATTTCTGCGATACTCCACGCTTTGTCACGAAGTTAGTTTAGTTGCTTCTCCGCTTTGAACCCAACTTAGGTCACGGATGACGGATCTCACTACACGTGCCTATTACTGCCATTTTTTACGGAGGAAAAATTGTCTATTCGCATCGAAAGCAAAATAATCAGAACTCAAGTCTTTTTCCTTTATTTCTGAATTGTAATGTTCTCTATTTGTTGGTTTGCAAACTGTCGGCTATTGCTAATTGCATGTGACATCTATAACAAAAAAAAGTGTATAACGTCACTGTTTGTTAATTATGGTCATCAAATTGTTTAATTACAAAAATCAAATGTTTACGACTATTAGTGGTGTTCCATATGAACCCTCTTTCGGAGAATTTGCATACAAAAATTTCATTGCTTCATCTAAAAGTGCCTAATGAGCTGAGTTTGCAGTATTTTTCATAATTGTTATCTCACATGGGAAATTGTAGAAAAATGGATTTAAAAGTGAGATAATTTGCCGCCTTGTGACGTCATCTGGCGGCATTTTCCATTTAAATAGATGTATTTTAGCAGATTAGTTTATTTTGTCATATTTACTCCAGTAATTGTCCAATTAAGAAACCAAGGATATCCCCGCGCTCAGTTTTCCTAGCGATTTCATTTTATACATGAAATTCACAAAATTTCAGACACCTGCAAATTCTCTATTGGTTTACAAAGCCTTAGATTTTTCTCCGTGCACCGTAAAGCTTAGAATCAGTGTAAATTCGACTATTCCGCGATTGATCGACGTAATTTAACCCGATTTTCCTCCGATCACCGGAGACTGCGAGTGAGGCCTTCCTCGCGATGAAAACAATGGAGAATTTGCACGCAATTTTTTTATTGCTTCATCTGAAAGTGCCTAATGAGCTGAGTTCGCAATATTTTTCATAATTTTTTTCTGACATGGGAAATTGGAGAAAAATTGATTTAAAAGTGAGAAAATGTGCCGCCTTGTGACGTCATCTGGCGGCATTTCCCATTTAAACACATGTATTTTAGCAGAATCGGTTATTTTGTCATATCTCCTCTAATAATTGCTCAATTTATGAATCAAGGGTATCTTCGTGTTCAGTTCACTCAGAGGATTCCACTTAAACAGGAAATTCATCAAATTTCAGACCCTTGCAAATTCTCCATTGTTTGAATTGTTACTCAAGCCACCCGCGAAGAGGAGCGAGTCCTTCAGCCAACGCACTCTTGCGGAAAACCCTCTGAACTGAACCCACAACTAGCCTTTGAAACTCACCGTCCGTTGACCAAGCAAAGCACCAGGCTGGGCAGGAAGCGAAAAAACAGGGCTTTGATGATTTTTCAGGTCAGACGCGCGGAAGACGTAGAGGGCGGTAGGCATTAATTATCCCTGGCTATACTGTTTACCGCTTTGCGTCCACGCCCGGTTGGTCCTTTGTTCTCACTTCTGGCCGAGCTTCCCCTCGCAAGAATAGTAACCGACTACACTAATCTATCCTCTGAATACTGCCACGCTAAGGGAAAACGCCGTATGAACATTCGAGAGTTGCCAAATTCCCTTCGATAAAATGTTTATTTTTTAGGAAAGTTATAAATAATTTGCCGAATAATTAACCGAAATGGACTTTTGGCGAAGGTCTGCAGGGATCTCGCGGAGAGAGCGCGTTCGTAATGAACGAGTGCGTGAAATAATGGGAGTTGAGGAAGATATTGTGCACGATATCAAAACCAAGCAGCTGGTTTGGTATGGACATGTGCGGAGAATGGCAGATGGTAGGTTGCCCAGAAAGGTATTTGATTGGGTTCCTCCCGGAAGAAGGCGGCGTGGACGTCCAGTAAAAGGTTGGCGAGAGGGAGTGGAGGGGGAGATCAGACGGTGTAATCTGCCCGATGATTTGTGGGAGGATCGATTCCGATGGCGATTTGGAGTCGCAGAGCGCTCTAGTGCGCTGAGGTAGCGGCTTGATATGTATGTATAAATAATTTGCCTTGGCATTTTCAGGAACTTTAGGTGAAATTGCAAACGACATTTTCTGAAAAATTGGAGGAAAAATATACTTAAGTTTACCAGGAAATCCGAGTTTTATTAATGGAAATTTGGCAACTCCAGAAGGTTCATATGGCGTTCCTCCTCAGCACGGCAGAATATGAGGTCCCGTTTATTGTCAGGGATCGACGCGAAAACGTTCCGGTTCTCGAAGAATTTTACTCTCCCGGTATAGCCATACCTGTGAAATGGATTGTTATGACTCGCGAAAGTCAGCTTTTTTCGGAAAGGTCAAAGTTATGACTGAAAGAATCCTTTAAAGGAAACCGGAAGATATCGCCCCGGCTAAGTATAGTCATTACTTCAAAGGATGTTTCATACGATGTCCTGAACACGATGAGCTTTTGTCAATTTCGAAAAAAGTGTGGAGAGAAAATAATTTACGACATGCGATCTTTGGACTACATTTAGCATTTAGGAGCTGCAATTTCTCGCTCAGTTTAAAAAGCCGTTTAAAAAACCGTTTTAGTGCCCCTATGCACGTATGCGTTTTTACGAATGAGCTAGTAATTGTAATGCCAAATTGCAAAATGTATTGTCCATTTATACGTGATATGCCTAAATTTATCTATTTATTTATCTTACTTCCAAATGTATCACAATTGAGGGGCTTGAGGGGCAAGGCGCATAAGTGAGGTTTTTCAAAAATTGAGATATTATTTCAAGTAAAACTATATTCTATGAAAAATTCGCTCCCTACATCCAATTTTCAAGCATCAAAAAGTCAGTTTGAGCTTTCTTTCCGCCATAAAAATCCATGTAATTTGGAATCTTCAAACATGTATTTCTCGAAATTGCAAACACTGCACTTTTGCGCCATGTCCTTCAAGTCACTTAGTTGGTTTTCAATTCGTATTATTTCAATTCTTTCATTTCTCAGAGTTTCAGTATGAACAAAATATAAACAATTGTATACTTTTCAATAGGGTGGGCAATAAGGCGCTATGGTGTAACTGAGGTTTTTTTCCTGAGGGGTGTTGCAGTGCAAATTTCTTTTGAAATCTTATTGAGGTTTTATCGACAGTTTATACGAGTTTCAAATTAATCGTCCCTACAAATATGAGCTACAATCTAGATAAAAAAACAAAACTAAAAATAAATGAATAAATAAATACAAAAAAAATACTGTAGCTCACTTAAAAATACCGAAAACGCATTTGGTGAATATTTATAATGCATCCATCTCATTGCACCTGACGCTAGAGAGTCAAGTAAACGGATTAATTCCACCCGATTTTTATCATAATTCAAAGAGCAGCTGCATCGGAGGATCTTAATTCTCCTTGGCAATTTTAATGATCTCCTACGCTTTAATCAGCCCATCGAAGCGGATATTGTAAGATATTTAAAAAGCTGAAAATAATGATTCCGAGTAAAACTAAAGTCCCTATTGAGTATCATTATAGGCTCAGTGGAAATGGATGGAATCCGACGATACTAATAGCAGCACTGTTGAATTCACAAACACCTGAAGCAAGAACAATACGTAAAAAGCAACATTTTTCCTTGAATCAGCATCCAAACCAAGTAATTAATTGAACGTAATACGACATTTTTGAAGCACGGATTTTCTTTCGGATTCCCCGTAGTTTGCCCCTCCGTCCCGTTTCCCTCCCACCTTTCTCCACCCGACTTGATACCCTCCTCTTCGAATTACTCCTCCTAAAGGAACTGACGAAGCAAAAATTAAAAACATAATTTGATTATGACGTCAGCAAGGAGGCTAAAATTATCTCAGTTTTTAATAAAAATAACTGCTGCTCGGTGATTAAACCAATCTTTATTGAGCTGTCTTAACAATAAACCCCTCTCAGCTGACTTAACGATTTGTCTCAAATTCGTTTTCTTATTATCTTCCTCTATGAAGTTTCAAGATGTATCAAATTACATTCCAGCAAAAATCTAAAGCATGTTTTATGTTTAAGTATAACAAAAAATTCAATTTTTTCTCCCTTCCGTAATAATTATTATTGTTCTCAAAAGTAAAGAAATATTTAAAGCCACCGTTTTCTTCCATTATATTTTAGAGGTAAATCTCGACCTCTTTTTTAGTTTTTAAATAGATTCCCTAATTTTGGTAGTTTTCACCCTGATTTGTAGGCCAGTCTTCCGTGTCTATGGACGGAGAAGCTGAATTTTAAAAAAGAAAGGAAAGGAGATTGAAACAATTTCAGATACCCCCCGCCCTTTTCTCTCTCCACCTGCGAAAGAGATAGAGTTGAGAACTAAAGGTAGGGAGGAGAGGGAGAGGAATGAAGAATGAGGTTAGAAGCAAAACCCGACTCGAGAAAATAAAAAACGCCTTCAAGTGAGAATGATACCGCGCATCACACAAAGCTTGAATAGTTGTATCATTCCATTATTTATGATATTCCGATGGTCAAAGTCCGATTTACGGAAGGGAGGAGAAGGAGTAGAGGGATAGCCAAAGAAATAACTAAATTGAAAACATCATGTCAAATTTTCGTGTTTTAAAAGTTGAACGTAAACCCAAAGGGAGCCGGACTTTCCCCGTCGAACAAATGAAACCTCACCTCTGAAATTGTTTTTAATTACAATATGGAACTGTTCTACTAACCTTAGTTTCGGGTGTTAGATACCCGACAACGCAAACAGTTGTGGAGCCAAGTTTTATCTTCAGGGACTTCTGGATCAATACGCCATTGCTGCTCTGCAAAGAAGTCTCTGCGCCAGTATCCACATTGGCCGATACGATTGGTGTCTTGGATTTTTGCAAGAACGGAGCCAATCCAGCCACGCCGTCATCAAACTCGTGATTTCCCAGCGACTAAAAAAAGTATATAAAAAAAAAAATTAAAAAATCTTCAAAACTTTTTTGTTAATTTTTCATACGTCTAAACACGAAATACTGGGCAAGACGTTGTCCTCCAGGTTTTTTGGAATCTAATTTAATTCTATCATACATTTAAAGAGAAATAGTGGAAAACAAAAAGAATGTAAAAGCAGCCCGAAACGGAAACGACAATCGAAAACACAGGAAAATGCGGAAACAAGGCAAAATACAACAAAATACAAATGCAGGACGTTTTGGTACCTTACGGCACCATTATCAACTGCTAAAATTAAAAATAAAAAAGAAATTAAAAGAAAAATAAAAACCAGGAAACGGCGTTACATGGTGAAATTGGAAATGAAATGAGACTGCAGTGATAATAGAATAAACAACAAAAATATCAAAGAGAAATATCAGCAGAAAACCAAATTGCAGCTCTAGCATCCAAATTTAAGTCGACCCGGAACATATTCCAGAGATCTTAAAGTTTTAAGGGAATGGTCATTCAGTTCGCGAACAGGACGGTCAAATACTATGTTATCACTTTTTCCTGATCGTACGAACAGACTTTGCGTTTTGGAAACATATAGGCTATCCTTTCTTTTAATGTCCATAATCAAAAGGAAGGTCCTAAAAAGAGGGTTTAGTAAAGCTTAGATTTGAACTTTCGTCTTACCAACGTTCCGTTTGTCAGTATGTAACTCGTATGTACACCTATAAGTAAAATACATTGCGTCAGATTTAACTCTTCACATAAAATTGATTGGTTCTTCTCGGAGAAGAAGATGTAAATCTTTTTTAAACCGTAAAAGCTGAAGCTGGTATAAGGGGCATCTCTGCCACCTTTATTGAGCTTTATCCACTACAAATTAGCAACTTTTGCAACTTTTTTTTCATGGCAGTTTTCAAACGACCAATAATATTTTTGGACATCTGGCATCGTGGATGACATTAGTCACAAGTTTATAGGTTAACAGGCGCTCGATTACAGGCTTGTAATCGGAGGTTAACTCTTAGCCAGAGGTGATAGAACTGGATTTAAATAACATAAACTAGATAAAAAAAAAATTGTTAAAATTAGTTCGCTTTCCAAAGGCTCGTTAGCTTTATTCCGCGTTACGCAGAACACAGGCGTGAATGGTCGATTATCGATATTTCCCCATTCGGAACTATGGTAAAGAATCGACCATTAAGGCGTTCGTTGCGAACACACTCTTTATCGCGCCTTTTCCATTAGTTTAAATGGCAGAACAATCGATACATCGCAAAGCACGCCATATCACTGAGTAGAACATTGCCTAAAGAAAGCATCCGAGGAAAAACGCGCACGAACTCAAACAACACACGCTCGCGTAGCACGCGCGCGTGTTGGGAACAGAAATAACAATTAAATTTTCCAATTTTACCTCGAATAATTTTACCATAAGTTTTCTGCCGATGATCGCAAACTTCGGTGGGTTGCCGGAGGGAGAGTAAAAGCGGTCCGATCGGGGTTTATTCGTGTTTTCCTCATATTTATGGGCGGAGAGGCTCGGCCCAGGGCCGGATGGCAACGTTCGATCCCTTTCAGCCACCGACGCTTTCAGTGGAATAATTAATCTGCCTTCAACGGAAATCCCTTTTCCGTACGCGCGGGGACAACCGAACTCATTACCTGACCACGCGGTTAGACGGCTCGCATCAGTGGCGGAGCGTGAACGATCGATTTATCGATATTTCCCCATCAGAAGCTATGGTAAAGAATCGATTATGAGCGAACACCCTGTCTATCGATTCTTTCCCATTGTTTAAATGACAGATCAATCGATATATCGCCAAGCGCTACTGGCTCGCATCGATGACGTCGGAGATTCAGACGAGCCGCCAAAAAGGCACACACAAGCCCCGCCGCACGGTGGATTGACTCAATTGGGGAGGTTGGACAAAATTTGGAAACTTTAAAAGCCTGTAACTCCGTCCATACACGATTTTAAGGTTTTGAAAGTGGCTCCATTGGTTTCCTCGTGAAATTTTCTTCTATCAGCACCAGTTAAAATTAGAAATAAGACGAATTAATCATCAAAATTTGCAGTTTTAGTCAAATATTTCAAGTCCAACCTCTCTAATTGACTCAGTCCACTGTGCGCCGTTGACAAATCGATACTTGGGAAACAGGAACAGTGTATTTCAGAGACCCGCATTGCTATTTCCGCTATACTTCCGTGCTAAAGAAGAACGCTGTATGAGTCTTCAGACGTTGCCAAGTTTCCTTAGATTAAAACCGAATTTACGGGGAAAATTGTGAATATTTTTTCTCAAATTTTTCCGACACTTTTGTACGCAATTTAATCTGAAATGTCTGAAAATGTCAAAGAAAAATGTGCCAAAAAGTCGTCAAAAAGACATGTTTTATCAAGAGAAATTTGGCAACTCTCGAATGTTCATGCGGCGTTCTTCCTTCGTTAAATTGTTTATTTTTTTGGAATGTTATGAATGTTTTTCCTTGGAATTTTCAGGAAGTTTAGATAAAATTGCGAAATAAAGTATCCGAAAAATTAGAAGAAAAATATTGATAAATTCTCTAGGAGACTGGAGTTGTATCAGAAGAAATTTGACAACGTCTAAAAGGTCATACGGCGGTATTCCTTAGCGCGACAGTATAGCGTAAAGGTTAAATTCGAGATTCTGCGCTCAGATTCACCTAATGATGACTTATGACTAAAGCGTTGATCGTTCGGTTCATCAAGTCTAACGTAATTTGCAAAAACTCGCATGGCAAAGTGCTTATTATGGAATGCATCAGTCTTCATTACACTAATACCAAGCTCAAAACGTTTCTTATCAATCATCACTGAAAAAATAAGACTCTTAAATTTTCCGCCAAGAAATAGTTTTTCTTGATTCAAGAATTTTGCTACTTAATTTGAGCTACTTGCATGCTTAACCCCAGCATTTATTTTCATTGTTTCAAGGAAAATTCAGCTTTAATCAAAATACAAAAATCTTGGCGGCAAATTATAGAATCTTCTTGCTTGAGTCAAGCAACCCAGTTTTCAGCGATGGTTAAGCCAAAAATATCGCCAATTACAAAGAGGTGTGTGAAAAAACGGCCAAAAATGCCTCAAGGCATTTTCGAATTTTGATCACTTGGGGTGATACAGTAGCTTCCCAGACGCCCAAAACCGGTCGCCGTTTTGCTTAGAAGCGCCGGGTTGCGACGTTGCCATTTTTTAAAGTGGAAACCTTTAAAAATTCATATCTCCGCCGCATCTCAACCGATTTCAATGAACTTTTTTTTAAAATGTTCCTCTTAAATAGAGCTTTCTAGTGGTATATAGTTTTGCGCCAGTTGCGCCAGTCAGTGCCACCTTAAAGTCAATAAAATCCAGAGACCGTTAATACCATTAGAGAGCTCTATATAAGAGGAACATTTTAAAAAAAAGTTCATTGAAATCGGTTGAAATGCAGCGGAGTTATGCATTTTTAAGAGTTTTCACTTAAAAAAATGGCAACGTCGCACATCAGCAGCCGAAGGTGAAAATACGGCTCGTGTTGTACACCTTACTGCTCTGTGTAATTATTTCAACGTAAATTGAACATAAGGGACCCCCAGTTCGCGAATGACTTAGTGATAAGGCGCACTCACATTGCGCAAAAGCGCATGTGACCAAATTTGAGCGGTCATATCTCGGAAACTAAACGTTTCCCCGGGATGATCTTGTGCTCGTTAGAAAGGTGAGAATCTGAACTTTCATTTAGACTGGTTTTTGCTTAGATTCTGTCGATTCCACGATCGTGGTAAAATAAAAACTACATTTTTGTGTCTATCAAGAAGTGCTAAAACCGCGTAAGTGCCACTTAAAGCCAAGTAAACCCCAGAAAACTATATACCGCTAGAAAGCTCTATTTAAGAGGAACATTTTAAAAAAAAGTTCATTGAAATCGGTTGAGATGCGGCGGAGATATGAATTTTTAAAGGTTTCCACTTTAAAAAATGGCAACGTCGCAACCCGGCGCTTCTAAGCAAAACGGCGACCGGTTTTGGGCGTCTGGGAAGCTACTGTATCACCCCAAGTGATCAAAATTCGAAAATGCCTTGAGGCATTTTTGGCCGTTTTTTCACACACCTCTTTCAACGGGCGTTCAGGCTCTTAGTTGGACTACATTTTGCTACAAGGAACTACAATTTCTAGCTCATTAAAGAAAAAACATGTGTGCCAATTGTTTCCCTATGCAGATAAGTGTTTTTATTCATAAACAAGATTTTTAGTTCCTTATTGCAAAAAGCCGTCCAGATACATATGGAATGCCCCACTAGTTGACAAGGGATCAAAGCCCAGAAGTATATTAGTAGCATTGTCAGTTCGTTGAATTAATCTGATTTTCTCCTTCTTTCTTGAGTAGGACAAATAAGCAATCATTCTTAACCAAAATTGGACTAAAATTGTCCGATACCGTCAATTTTGGGAAAAATTGAGCATCTGCCCCATCTCTTCCTTTAAAGAACTAGGTAATGTCGCGCTCTTGTCTAATTCGTACGTCAAGTTTAGAGGGTGGATTAGTAGATATATCTGATGTAGATGTAGATCTATGAATCACAGATTCAGAGAGGCTTCACGGTAGTTTATATACCTATGATGCTTGGTGAATTGAATCGCCAAAACTCCTTTTGTGATATTTTGGTCAGAAAATTCATGAAAAACATAGAATGTTTTCCCTATAGCTATTTTTATTTTTCCGGTGACTAATTTATGAAATCTTGCACACGTGTCTTTCAATTGTTCGTCAGTCATTTCCCGTATATTTTATTGTTTCATGATGTTATTGAGTGTCGAGTGTCAAATAAAGATTGATATTTGATGCCTTTCATTGATTGTCAAGGGTTTAATAAAGTATTATTTTTTTTATTTTTTCAGGTGAACAAGGAGTTTGAATTTTCTTATGATTTAGAGAATTCAGTAAACAGTTCCATGTCAATGATACATTTGTTGTTGGGTCTTCAGCATTGAGCACTCAAATCTGCGCGCGTCGCATCTAATGTAAGTTGAGCTTTATGTTAAATTTACTTTGTTGTGAATCGTGACCGTAAATGGTTTCATGAAAGGATGCTTTGGTGTTTTAAAGAAATATAGTTGTTTGTTATTTTAAGTAATTATAGTTTGAAATATTTTCGAGAAAAAAACCAGGACAAAAATCGATCTTTACGGGCTTAATGCGCGACTTCGTGTTCAGATACTGTGCGTGTTGCGTGTTCGAAAAATGAAGGGACTTGGTCTTTTACAGAGTTTACCGTTCAATTTTTGCTATGAGTCTAAATAGAATCGCTGGAACAGTATACTAAAGAATTGAGATTATGGCTCTTGTTTGTCAAATATTTTTAGTACGACAATTCTGAAGGAAAAAACAATACCTCAGTGAATTTTTTAAAGAACGAGCTTGGAAATAGCTAGATTAAAAAAACGCATAAATTAATTTTAGACCCGAAAAAGTTCGAGGCGCGTTGGTTCCACCTAACGGCACACTTAGGACATTATTTTCAGGCAGAATTGGCTCCACTGGGGCGCGTTTAGCTTTCCTCTAAGGGATAGACTTGACAGGTGAACCTAGTGCCTCGCAGTACCAGTTAATTAGGAATGCGTTGCATTAGGTCGAGCTCCGAAAAGACTACATTTTCTTTGAAGTCGTTATGTTTCTTGCCAGAGCTAGACGACTTTATGAGCGCACTGCTTCTCCATTCACTCGCACAAGTTGCGCGGAAGGCTTGCTATCATCAAATTCTGTTGAATGTGGAGTTTATATTTGCATGAAGCTTTAAATGCAAATTTAAAATATTCTGTTGTTTCGCCCTGTTTTGAGCCGAGCTTTACGGTACACAGGTTTTCGCTGAATTCTCGCAATGCCAGGCTTTTGCTGAGTAGATAAAACGATCTAATAAAACTGGATGAAATACTAGCATGAGGCGAATATACGAAAATCCAAGCCAGAACTGAGTGCTCTATAAAATCTCCGGCTGTGTGGCCGCTGGCTGACGAGCCATAGAGGCCTCAAAATTGACGTATTCTCAGAATCATTCTAAAACTGGAGATTTAAAACAGTTCCATCTCAAAAAAAGTATAGGACCAAAGTATGGTTCTATAGCTTTGCTGAAGGTTTTGTATCCAATGAATTCTTTTGACCTGAGAAAAACCAAAACGCCTTCAAGTTTTTGGTTGTGCAACATGGACATCGATAAAGCAAAAATAGTTGTATCGAAGGGTCAAGGGGTTATTACATATTGATGTTGGTGTAGCGTCCGACGAAATGTTTCAGGTTAAAAAAATCCAGAACGCCTTCATTTGTTTGATTGTACGATATGGACATCTATTGAGTAGAAATATATAGTTGTACTCAGGGCTGTTAAAGGTTTTGTAGCCTTCGACGCGTTACAATAAGAGAAAGAAACAGCAAAATGCTTTCAATTTTTTCTTTTGAGTGAGAATATAATTTAATCGAATGACTCAAACAAGACTCTGAGGCAAACTTTGGAGCAAACAGTTTAGAGAGGCGTATTGAGCCCGTGAACTTTGCAAGATCATTTACTCATACTCGTATGCAACGTCTTCTTGATTTTCTTTTTCTTCTCACGCATGAATTTGACTAAATGAAGTTTCAGTTTCTTCCATTTTTTTTGAAAAAAAAAAATCCTATTTTTCCTCCAGTCGGATTACTTTTGAAGGTCTGTCAAGTATAAACATCGAATCAAAGACATTTTTAGTTTTTCAGGGGAACTACATACTTTTCAGTCACATTATATCAGCGTAATATTTGAAGCACATTTTTTCTCAAATCAGTGCATACAATTTCTCAATTTCTCCAAAATCCTACAGCGGAACTGCGAGCCGAACGTTGGGATTGATGGACAAAACGATAGAGACAGAACACGTTGGGCTATCCTATCGGTGAAATGGATGGTTCTCATATACTATAGACTAAGGGGTAAATAAAGGACTAACTAAAGGGTCCATCGTGGGTTGCCGTTAGTTAGTCTATTACTTATACTTCCTTTATCCGTTGCAACCAATAGACCACTAGACAAGGTACGAATTTAAGCAATCTGATACATGTTCCTGAGCCAGAATTTCACGTAGAACACGATTCGCGCAACGAAAATGACTGAAACCAACTCCTAACGAAGATATTAACGTTTTTATTTCACATTGATTACGAGGAATTTGAACTGCCCGCTGACAAGAAACTAAAAGCTCAACGTGAGTCAAATCGCACACCACAACGGTTTCAACAAGTTTCTCAATCGAGTAATGTTCATTTCTCACCGTGTGTTGTTCAAACTATAAGCAATTTGCAACAGCTGAGCCAAAGCGTCAAGATTGAGGTTGCCAGATTTTTAAATCGCAGAAACTGTCATGACAACGTTTAGCACGCGATGTGAATCACGTAGAGCATTGAGTTTTCATGAGCAGGTGGTTTGAATTCACGCATCAAGAATCATTAAATATCTTCGTAAGGAATTGATTTCAGTAATTTTCGTCGTGCGCATCGTGTTCTACGTGAAATTTTGGTTAAGAAACATGTATCAGATCGCTCCAATTCGTGCCTTGTCTAGTGGTCCATTGCAACTCCCCTCAATAGAATCCCTCTATATCCCTCTTGTCTTCTTTGTCTATAGCGTTGTCTTTCAGTTTCAACAAATAGCTCGCAGGACGAAAGAGCAGACGAGTTTAATTTTGGCATCCCTGCGTAGAATGCACTTCTCCGAGCAATCTCGAGAGTTTCCAGTAGAATCAATTATTTGTCTTGGCTCGTGTACTCACCCTCAGCTCTCGCATCCCACTTTTACGAAGGTTTGCCACGCGAGCGATTAGCCAGTGACTTGCTTTTATATCCGGCTCGGAATTCCAGAACTTTGACAACGAGCTCCGCGCGAGGAATTGCACGCATTCCCGTTGCGTAATCATAATTGAATCTCTCCCACGAGCCGTGCTTCGCATCCTGTCTCTCTGTCAGCCGCTTTTGATATTTTTTTCGCGGGCGTAATTATTTGCTCTCATAAAAGCTGTTGATATAGTATTTCTTCGTGCACAAACACTCGGTTCTAATCCACACTCGAGGAAGAAATGGACGTATTTCTGTCAAACGGAACTATGGGCATTATGACGTGAGTCCTGGTACGCATGTATTCTTATGGGTCTCAGGGTTCATGCCTTATTGCCTTAATGCACATAGTTCCGTTTGATAGAAATACGTCCAAATGTGCTATATCGATGGAGAAACTGCAGAAACGCGCATCTAGGTTTGCAGCGTTGCAGACTTCCTGTCATACTTTAGTTTCTACGTGGAAAACTATTGATCGTTACTTCTTAAAAATATCGGCGATTTCTCTCCTGTATATGTCAAAAATATTCTGTGAGAATTTCAAACTATCATTTTGGTTTGATCTCCTATTAAAAAATAAAAAATAGGAGTGGAGATTATGCAACACTGCAATCAAGATACGCATTATTGCGTTTCGATCGTCGAAATGTATCCTGACAACAGCTCTTTATTTTCGTGTAATAACGCTCAAAGATATTGAATAATCTGGGTGTTGGAATAATTATTTAGAGATTCAGTTGAGATTAATTTCGTCCTATTAAATATTGTAGTCGTTCTCAATGGTTCCCCTTCGCCGTATTACTAAACAAATGTAATGAATAATTATTCCAACACTCAAAAAAAGCTCCGGCCGTGGAGGCCAGGAGCAGCGGACCTGGAGCACGGACTGGATGGGCTATATGGCACTACCGTTCGCCTACGCGCCTGACGGCCGGAGTCCTACGTGCGGGGACGATGCGGATTGCTACGGACATGAAAACCGTAAGTCGCGGCCTCGAGCGGCATAGGCAGCTTGCGCTCTCCGCGCTACTTACGGGCTGGACGGCCGGAGCTCTGCGCGCCGACGCTGTCCGCGACGTGGTGGATTTTTTCGGAACTACAGCTGAAAATTCACCATTAAAGTACATAGAAAAGAAAAACTTTCCAGCAAAGTTTTAAACATTGAGTGAATTATCTTGTGTCAATTTCTGAACAAGATTTTTTTTCTTTCCTTCTTTTTAAAATAGGTATATATATCTTTGTTGATAGTTCATAACAATTTAGTTTCAGGAAAGTTATGGATAATTCACTGTCTAAGAAAGAAAAAGAGCATATGAACGTTAGCTTGTTGATCATGTTTCAGATATCAAGAGAGATTTGAACTCCTTGGCTGATAGTTCAGCAAGTCAATTTGAGAAAAGAGATGAATCTTAGAGAAGAGATGATGCTTATTGAGAAAGAAAATCAGCATATGAATGTTAGCTTATTCATCGTGTAGAGATATCAAGAGAAATTTTCAAAAACCTAACTTTTATGTTGCAAGCCTTCCTAGAAATAAATAAAGCACTGGGGAAGCACTGGAAGGAACAAATGTAGATAGATCAAAAATTCTTGCTACCTATTTTAAATGTAGAACAGACTGCCCAAGGTATGATAAATTGCTAAAACTCATTGCAGCGAAAAATGTAAATTGAAAAATCATTTTTATCACTTGGCAGCCCGTTCTCAATAAATGTAATTACTTTCACTCAATGAGAATTCAGCATTTGTCAAAAACAAAACCTGGTTCATCCCTCAATAAAAAATACGAATGCAAAGTAGGAAATCACCTAAATGATTAACAAAGGAAAACCACAGGCGTAGGTCTGGGTACTTACAGATTTTTACTCCTTACGACTAGAAGAGCTTCAGAATCTTGAAAATGAGGTTGAGAATATTTCAAAGTGTAAATTCAGTAGTAAAAGTTGACAAAACTTCAAGATATAACTCTCCGCAATAACTACCGGATACAATTTCCACAAAATATTAGCGAAGAAATATACCACCGAAAATTGTCACACTTGTTAAAATTGTAGATCTTCCCTTCAGCAAACTGAAGCGCGATTCACACAAAATTTTACCACTATTACAGTACACTGAGCTCCCTAGAATTGGGATATGGAATCAGAGAGATATTCACAGCCACAATGTTTGCACTGGCTCTTATCGGATAATCAACGCAGGCAAGATTGGCTTATAGCTTCCGCTGGCGGACAGCTATTTTGGCAACAGAGAAGGGAGGTGTTGGATGTCGGAGA